AAAAGAAAAAAAAAAAAAAAAGAAAAAGAAAAAAGGAAGAAAAAATAATAGGAAGAAATAAAGGAAAAAATATCTGAGAGAGAGAACAGACCCCGCTGTTGACATTTCAGGACTAGCAGCAGGCGGGGCGGAGGCTCTCCAGGTGTCCAACACCCTGAGAGCATTTCCGGAAATTTGGGCAGCCGAAATCTCCGGACAGAAGAGGGATGAAGGCTGCCGAAAGACACCCCGGCAGCACCACTCTCCCTCCCCACTCGGGATCGCGACGGGACCGGACTCACTGGGGAGGGGACAGCAGCACCCCCCATTTCCTTCAGAGCCCCATAGGGAAAGGGAACTTACTGTCGGGGCTGGCGCAGCCCAAGAAAGCACGGCGGTACCAACCGACGGCGGCGTCGCGGAGCGGGCAGCCCGAGGCTCCGAGGCGCAGCGGGGAGTGGGGGCCGCAGCGCGGAGCTCCGCGCCCACCTCCGCCTCCCGCCGCAGCCCTCCGCGTCCCTCCGCCGCCCTCTGTGCCCAGCAGGTCCTCGATGAAAAAGGACGAGACGCGGGCAGATGTAGAGCTGGCGTTTTCTGTCGCTTCGTCCGGCATCGTCGGTAAAACAGCTGCGGGAGGGGAAAGGGTCCCGGCTCCGCCGGAGGATGGCTCCTCGGCTCCCCGCTGCCCCGCGGCCGCCTCCTGCCTCTGCTTAGTCCCGTGGATGCTCTCCTGGTATAAAAGGGTTTTTTTCCGGAGTAATCATTTCAGATCGCGGTTTGCCATCATTTCCTGCAAGCTAGGAAGGGAGGGGGGAGGAGGACGAATGGAAGGGAATGGGGAAGAAGAAAAAAAAAAAAAAAAAAAAAAAAAGCAACCCGACAACCCATCGGAGGCGCCAGATTCTGCGCGAAAACGATAATAACGAAATAAAAATGTCATGCGAGTTAAACGCTGTACACGAGAGGGGGGGATCCTGCGATTGGAGGAGAGCGGCGGCAAATGGGATTTCCGCAGGGGAAGCGCAGGGCGATGGCTGAGCGGGGCCGGGGTCGGGCTCTGCTGTGTGTGTGCGTGTGTCCGTGTGTCTGTGTGTGCGTGTGCGCGCCGCCCCGGGGCTGCCACTCACGAGCTCTTATTTAGGTCAATTAGGGAGCAAATCCCGGCGCGGGGGGAGCGGCCGTGCCGGCCCCGGCACACGGGCAGCAGCCGGGGGGTGGGCATGACCACTGCACGTCCCGGCCTTGCCATTGGCTGCAGAAGGCTGAGCAGGCAGCCCGGACAGCCAATGGGCTCGGCGAACATCGAGGTTATATTAATATCATTAATAATAATCAACCTCCCCCCCGGCCTCTGAGCGCGGCGGGCGCGGAGCTTTCATGTCTGCGGAGATGGATGGAAGAGACGGAGGAGACGCGCCCTCCGCAGCCGGGCCCTACAGCCATCACCAGGCGGGGCGGTGGGCACCGGGGGGCGGGCGCGGGGCGTTCTGCCTCGGAGAGCACCCGAATGTGCAAGGCCGAGCACCGGAGAGAGGGGAACCTTTGTCTGCGAGGTCTCCCGAGGACGCCTGAGTGTTCATAGCACGGTGAGCGCTGTTTAACCTATTCCTTTTTGTGTATATATACCTACACACATATATATATATACATATATTTTTTCTAGCCATATTTGTTATATGTATTTATTTATTATATGTGGGAATATTTATTTATAATACTCATTTATTTATTTACTCCTTATATGTCTATGTGCGTATGTATGTGTGTGTGTGTGTGTATATATATATATATATATATATATATACATAACAGCTCTCGATGTTCAGATATGACTTCACACAGAAGCACACGATGCTCCCTGCTCCCCGAAGCTGCCCCATGCCCCCCGCCCCCCGTCCGCCCGAGGAGCTGCCCACTCTGATCTCACCCTTCCCACCCCAATCGCTGCGCATTACGACTTCTTAATTGTTGTCATCTCTTCAGCGGAAAGCCCTAAATCTCCCCCTCTGCCTGTTCTCTACTTTCAAGCTTTCCGGATGGGGCAGGGATCCCCAGCAAACTGCAGAGCAGGGCAGAACCCTCTGCCTTTTTTCCCGAGATCGGACAGGACAGGTCTGTCGATCCCGGAAACAGGACGGGTCCGAGGGTGGGGTGAGTATACCGATGCCCTGAACAGCCTCATTCACATCGCTGCCTTATGCTTCTGCCGGGGATGTGGGCGCAAATCTCTCGCAGAGGCGGTGCTCACCTGCTGCCAGTTCCCGGCACCCCTGGCCCAGCCCCGCCTGTTCCCACGCTGTTATTTGGAGATAGAGGCAGTCGGGAGCAGCCTGATCCCCTTCTGGGTGATGGTGGGTGACCTCTGAGTTCAAGGCCTATCTGCGGAAATATGGAAAAGAGACAGAAAGAGGGAAGAGGGGGAAGGAGAGGGAGAAAGAGAGAGCAAAAGAAGGAAAGAAAGAAAGAAAGATGGAAAGGATAAAAGATTTCCTTTTCCAAAGATGGCAATAAAATGCCACCAGAGCTCTGAACTGACCTCTGGAAGAACAGCAGTGTACAGTGCCATGTTTAGATTTCTGTCCTACCTGGACACAGACCTAGGAGCAAAACCAGGCACACTGATCACTTGTTGCATGTAAATGATGCTTGTGGACATCACCCTTATGCTCTCCCCATACTTTCCTGTATAGGAATTATGAGTCTGACCAATGTGTCTTAAGAATCTATAAACCATCTGCTCTGTTTCACTGTCAGACTCTGAAAATATATGAGAGCTTTCTGGAATAAAGAGAAGAATGTGGATGTATATTTTATATCCAGTGTGCAAACAATATGCATGCAGCCCGTGCCCGTATTTTATAATGTGTTCCTACAGAGTAGTCATTTAACTTATACAATATTGCTTGCTTTCCATTTAGAAATACTGTAATGAGATCAGTAAGAATAAATTCACTCTTTCTTCTTTTCTTTTTTTTTTTTTTTTTTTTTTTTTTTTTTTTTTTTTTTTTTTTTTTAAGACAGTCTGGTGTGCCATAAACTTGACCTATGTTTGTGGAGTCAGGTATCTTGACACATCCTTGAAGCACAGACTCAAATGGTGTACAATTCTATGCCTGCAAATACAGCACTTGCACTGACATGTCCGTGAGTATGAAGCATCTTTTAAGCTTGCTGATGTGTTTACGTACCTTAATGCCTAAGCATAGCTGTAGCAACATGACCACTGCCACTTAGTTCTGAATAATCTTTTCGCTTATTCTAAGGATAGAAGTAAGGAAAAGGAGGTGTGCGCTTGCTGTATTCACTGGCAGGGCTCTGTACAGGGAGCAGGAAAAGCACCCAGCGATTTTCAGCACTCATTTTCAGGTGGTGTAGCCCCGCAGATGCCGCATTCCTCCCGGTACAGCTCCGGGTATCGCTGGTGGGAGTGCCCCTTGTGCACCGGGTCCCTCTGTTGCGTGACAAGGGGACCTCTCACTTCCCTTTCCCAAGTCCCACTCTCCAGTCGCTGTACACGAGAAACAATTTTTCTTTATTTTGCAGGTCAACGTTTTTCTCCTGTATGCCCTGGAGCTAGGGATTGCCGGGGCCGCCCCTGTGAGCGCCTCCGTCCTGTTCCGCAGCCCGGCACAGGGTGGGGTGCCGGAGGTTGACAGCCTCTCAGGGCCACCCCCTCTCGTTTCCTCCCCACCTCTGTGGGCTCTGTGGGCTCCTGAGCCTTTGGAAGCTCAACGCACAAAGCGAGGGGAAGGGAGGTGCCGGGGCTCGAGCTCCGAGAGGAACCGGAGGATGGAGAACGGCATTTGGGGCGGAAAGGGTGCGAATACGTTGCCACAAGCGACATCTCCACCACGGGGTGCCGGCCCCATGGAGCTGAGCGGGCCTGCAATGTGAATGCAATTACCCCTCCTGTGTTTGATTCCTCTCCTTACTCTTCTTCCACCAGCACTGCTTCGGTACGTCGTGAAATAGAAGCGAAATGAAAGGCAGCCTTGAGCGCCCGCTCCCTAAGCTCTGCTCCGCTCCGCTTTTAGGAGCGCACGATGGGTTTGGAGTCCGGAGCTTTGCGGGAGCCCTGAGACGGGAGTGGAAGAGGGAAAGGGCTCTCCCTCCTCCGTACCCACAGAGGAGCTGCGTGCCTACCGTCCTTCCGGCAGCCCCGATGGCAGCGCTGCAGGGAAGAGTCCTGAGCCAGCACCCGCCTCTGGTTGATACAGGTGTACGCACATATGCATATACAGGGTTTTTTTTTTTTTTTTTTGTTTTTTTTTTTTTGTTAAGTTTGCAGATAGGTTCGCTTAAACTGTAAAAATAAAGTCAATAAAAGATCCTAGGTGCATCTTCAGTAAACCACAAGCAATTCTATGAGAAATACTTGCAAGCAATTTTTTTTTTCCGAGCTTTTTTTTTCGTGCTCAGTGGTCCCTTAGAAAAGTGGAGGGGTGCAAACGTTTGGATATCTCCCCTTAGAAGAAGCGTAAAATAAAACAAACGATCGACCTGAAATTGGTTGTTCGGCCTCTGTGCGATATTTCCTCTGCCCCGATAGTGCAGCTCCGTCTGTGTTGTCCCCCAGAAGCGGTGGCTGCAGAGCAGGACCTCAGAGAAGGGTCTCACGCCCCCCGGGCGATTGCGAAGGATGCCCCCTCGGCACCGCCCCGTCGGGGTGAGGATCCTGAGGGCATCTCACGAAGGTGTCCCATTTTGGGTGGCAGGACGAGGATCAGACACAGCCCCAGGCTGTGCGGGGAGCCACGATCCTTCCTCGTTGGAACCCCGAGGGGCTCTGCCTGCACGTTTTGTAGCTCCCAAGCTACAGGAAACATAGCTTTAGTCTACATGTACGTACAGACCTGAGACTCCTAAAACTCTTCAAACGTGGATTAAACAGCGCTTGAGTTCAGTCACACTGTGTGCGTTTCCTTTCTTAATAATAAACACAATAAGGGATTTCCAAAGGTGAGGTAAATCGTAACTACGGTCTTTTTTCATTCTCATAATTTTTACGTGTATAAACTCCCCCCTCACTGATTTCCTCACTGCTAATGACACTGGTGGAGAACTTTTCCTATTTCAAGACCACTGCATAACTCGCGCTGACTCCCATGAATGTATTCATTATTCACAGAGAGTCACTAAGTGCTCTGCATGGAAACTTCCAGTCCCTCGCATGTCCTGACTGTTGCCTGTTAAGTGTTCCTTATGGATGGCGTGCCACTGGGAGCACGAATCTCATGGTCTTAGTGCTGTTTCCTTCCTAAGAGAAGGAAATTTTAACCCGTGATAAACGATGAAAGAAGGGAACGTCCCTGGGTAGGTGAATAAATAAATGAAGAAAGAAGTTTGAGAATGAATAGAGGGCATATGTATCCTCACGTGTCAATATTCAAAAATGGTTATTAGCTGCTTGACTGGAGGCTAGGAGAAAATGGATCATCAACAAATTATGTGATGTATTATAAATAAATAGATAAATAAATAAAGTAGCCCCAACTGAAAACAGCTAACAATTGTTCAAAAGTGACTTTTACAGAAGGATCTTTGGCATCCATTTCATTATAAAATTTTAACATGGGGTGTTTTTTTTTTTTTTTTTCTATGTACTGTGTATGAATGCATGGTTTTATTGGTACTGGTTAGGGTCAGCTACAGGAGAATTATGGAGGTCATGTGAAATAGGTGCCA